TATTGTATATTGTTGCTACTGAAGTGTCTTTGGGATCAAAAAAGTCTTATCTTATCTTTCATCAAATGGCTGCCATGGGAAAATGGTGAATTGGAGCACTTCTCTAGCAGTGTGCTCAGTGCTGGCTTTGGGTTACTTACTTGTATCATTCCCATAGTGTTCACTCTTTTTTCACTGTCAAAGTGTCTGAGCATTGAGGTTATACTATATAGTGTTCCGGTGTGTGTTCTACTGGATTATAATATAGTTGGGTTTCTAAAATCACAATTACAATAATTAAGTTTTAAGCTTCTTTCTCACTATTAACCAACAACCAATTGGGGGGCGAAATCAATGGGCGAAATTTGACGATGTGATAAGAACTGAAATTATGTTGGCTCTTGTGCTTTTGGAGGACATAATTAGTGTGATGGAAAGAAAGGAAGTGAATCTATGTCAAAGTCTCATCCAGAGAATGTAGCTCTCATACAGATTTTAATTTCAACCCCAATCCCTCTGTCCCTGATAACTGCTCCGATCATACATCACACTTTAAACTGTGGTGATGACTGCTGCAGGCCGCCTGCAATTATAAGTATATTTACACAATTAATGTCTGTGCCCATCAACAAATAATGATGATGTTTTCAAAGCGAGCCATGAATAAAGCCTGTAGCAGAGAGCTCTAATCATGGAGCAGAAGAAGTAGATCAGGGACAGGTCAATGCCTCAAGCCGCTGCTCTACTGCTTTGTTTACTTATCTCTTCTCCTCTCAGCCGGTCTGAGCTCTACGTTTTAAGCACTAAATCCTGAATACGGCAGATTTAGAATATGATAGGATACGTTCTAACAAGCTTTGGTGAACAGATTTTAACAGGACATATTCTTATATCTTGCAGTTGTGTAAATGCCTCTAACGCTGATGAGCTGCATTGAGACTGATCACATTCGGTCTGCTCAACATCAGCAGGATAGCGTTGTCATTGTTAGCACATTAGCATGATGAGATTACCTTTTTGCTCAATGCATAGATGTGCTTGAGCCACACAGAACGTCCAGCATGGCTGTAGATGCATGGGTCAGCATTACAAGCATTTTGTCGTCAATAGTATGTGTGGAGTCCTATATTAACATGCCACTAGCTATTGGCCTTGCTGTGAGTGTATCATCATGTGTGTGCGTGATGCACATCAGCTTTCTGTGTGCACATTCTCAGCTGTTCACATCTGTACAGGTGAAACAATATTCTTTAGTCCTGTTGCTTCACTGTTCTTTCACATCTTCATCACAAATATGAAGCTGTGACTTTGATCAAACTAGTCTCCTTACACTCTTACTGACTTAGACTAGGTAAGGCCTCAACCCTGAGCAGCATTTTAACTGAAGAACATTTGAACTTTGGATCTTCATTTGGTTTGGTATTGTAAACTGTATTCTGTCCTCCTGAGTCAGATAGTCTGCTTCCATTTGCACAGGCCATGTACTTTAACATGGTCAGTACAGCGTCCAGCACTTCAGGGGGGGAGAATGGATTTTGGAATGAGAAAGGAAATTACACCCTTGATTGCCCACACATTATTAACCATCAACCATAGAGGCCTCACTCATGTCTCAAAACAGATCAATTGATCAGTTGCCATCAACTAAAAGTAGACAGTACTACTGTGGGTCAGAACAGAACCATGTGAGGAAAGAGGAGTCGTCCTTCGTCTTCAGGATCTC